AAGACAAAAAAAAAAAAAAAAGATGTGAAAGTCAATTGTACTGTGAAGAAGGGGAGACACAGAAAAGGCAAGAAATCTTACACTTCCGTCACATACTTCATAATTCTATTGAGGTTGGCATTCATTTATGCTACTGACTTTTGCTATTTTGCTATTCTGGTGGGACAGAGATGATGCAATTAATGCAGTAGTAAAAGTTTCCACTGTTGTGTTCTAAAGTTTCCAAATCCATAAAGGCAACTGGATCATGTTTTCCACCAAATCAAGTTTATAATCTTCACATGGTAAAAAAAAAACCCACAATTTTTCCAAAATTGCTCATATTATTTATCTCTCCAGAGTATGAAAACTAAGTTACCACTTCATCATCAGTCACGTCACATTTAAAAAGGTGGTAACATTGTACATTCGAAATTAAACAATTAGTTTCACATATTTTAAATTGATAACTTAATTTTGTCTTCTCTCTGATTTTCCTGACTGAAAAATTCACTGTCCTATCTTGAGAGATTAATCAATTTCACTTCAGATAAAAAGCAGATTAAAAAATTATCAATTCTAAAGGTTTACCTCATTTTTAATTTAAAAAAATAAATAATTTTTCAAAATTCCAACATCTATCCTATGCCAAAGCAATAATTTGAGTTATTAAACTGGAATTCGATCTTGATTTAAGGCCTACAAATAATTTTCTTTGAATTAAAGGTAGTCCTGAACTTTAACTAGAATTCTGAAGACTATTTCTAATACTTTGGAAGATTTTGCTTTGCTGGTCAGAATATTGCCCACTTAGCCTAGATAAGACCAACCCCCAAAAAAATTTTTCCTAACAAACTCCATGGGATCCACCCTGTCAGCTCTCAAAACCAATGTCCCATGGTTGTCTTGATCACTGCTGACCACATATACAGGGAAGACAAAAGTCCAGAGACATGTCAAATCACTCTTACATTATCTCCTTGCAACTTTGTTGGTATAGTTGTCCTTTAGGACAAGGGGTGATGGTTTTAAATTAAAAGAGGGGAGATTCAGACTCCCCTCAGAAAAATAAAGAAAAAATGTTTTATGATGAGGATGGTGAAACACTGGAGCTGGTTGTTCAGAGAGGTTGTATATGCCCCATCCCTGGAAACATTCAAGAACAGGTTGGACGGGGCTCTGAGCAACCTGATCTGTTGATGATGTCCCTGCTCACTGCAGGGGAATTGGACTAGGTGACCTCTGAAGGTCATTTCCATCCCAAAACATTCTGTGATTCTATTCTATCATTCTGTGATTTTTCCGTGTCTGCTTTCTGCTCCTCTCTGTGGCTTGAAGGCATGTCAAGCAAGTTCAGCCTCTGGCTGTGGCATTTCCTGGGGTCTGACACCATGGGTGCTGCCAGCTTGCTCCATCTGGGGAGGCAGAAGGAAACGCAGCCCATCCCACTTGTCACCTTGGTCTCCAGAGCTGCAGCCCAGGACAAATGTCCAGGGATGTATATTTACTCCTGTTTTTCCAGGAAGAGCTTCTGCTAGCCTAAGAAACTTCACCCTCTCTCACAAATAGGCCATTGCAACAAAGCCTATCCTTCCCTTCAACATTTGTCCATCTGCATCAAATTAAAGGACAATGATCAAAAGTAATTAGTTCTTAAAAAGTAAAATAATAAAGGAATCCGTATAAAGGAATATCAGCAGTAGCGGCGTGTGACAGCTGCAAGAGACAACATCATTTTTGCATATCAGAATTAATGTAGCCTATGAGCATTTAAAGCCGATAATACATTAGACTTGTAGTTTCAAATATTATATTTGTATATTTCATGACTATTTGTACTGGCAAACATGTCACACTGCCTTTCTACAAAATAGTAAGTATACTATCCATTTTCCTGAAATATTAATGTATGAATAACCTATCTCTTATGCAAAGCTGAAATAGGATTTAATGAACCTCCATTACTCAAGCTGCACATTTTCCTAAAGATGAAAAATGCCATGTACAATGTATTTTCCTGCATGTGAATAAGCTCATTAATAGAGATTTCTGAACAGAGTGTTTCTACTCAGCAATTTTTGCCCTTTGGGAGGGGGAAGGAAAAAGAGAAGGGAGCAGACACTTCCCCTCATCTCCAGAAAGGAACCAAATCGGCTTTCTTAATATTTTGGTTTCAAAGCAGTTCTTAGTACATAGGCACAATTGCCTTCTGACAAATGTGTATTAAAACTTAGCTGCAAGCAGTTAAATCTGTTTTACTATATTCTTCCCCTACTTTGATAGGAAGTGATAACAGAGAAAGTAATCAAAGCAGTACAAATTTGTCAATACTGAGAACTGTTGTTTGTTTGACATCTGATTTGCCTCTTTGAATAACTCCCCTCCCTGAAGAAGTCCATCATGGTGTACATTCTCTGTAAATAAACCATTACAATAAATTATTGTAAGCACCTCAGAGGAACAAGTTTTTTCTTTTTCAGCAACTAATGAGGTTTGGAAACTTGGACACCAAAATATTTTTTTTTTTTAGTTTTCCTAGTGTTATTTTACAAAAATGCTAAAATTACTGTACTTTCTCTACTTAAAAATGTGTTAAGCAAGTCTACCTTTCTAGTCTATTTCTTGGAATTTCCCATTAACTCTACCCTCTCCTACCTTCCCCTCCCAATTTCCACTACTATTCTTCAAAATGGGTCCACTGGGTTTCAGATTCTCTGTGGATACTATCCCTGAGTTTTCTTCAAAACTTTGCTGTACTCAGAAGCTGCCAGGAGAACTCTGTTGCATTATCTCTTACTGCTCAGACAATAGATATCGATGGCAGAATCAGGAACAATTGCAGGCACACCTCATACCTAATTTCTCAGTAATAAACTTGTACTAAACCTATTATTTTATCTGATAAACTCTCTGGCTCACTGTAGTCCTGAATCAGGTAATGTAAATTTTTTGAGAGCTTTGCTGTTGCACTGCACAAGGTCAATATCTTAAGACGAAAAAAACCCAACAATCCAAAAATACAAAAAATCCCCAACCTTCCCCCTCAAACATCTCCCACACTTTCCATGACTTCCCCAAAGCAAAAGAGTATAATCTGTTCACCCCTCAACAGCTCACTGGTTCAAAGACATACTTGAGCACCACTGAGATGAGGTTCAGCCCTTGGTCTGAATATGGCTTTTGGCCTCCTGCTTTCAAAATAACCTCTCTAAACAATCGAGTACTGCCTACTTTAGAAAGGCAGATGGCATTGCTCCCTCCCAATAACGGATTTGAATTTTCTTGGGAAAGGACAGCAAAAAATCCAAATGCTTTAGAATCAACAGCTCCCCTACTTTAAAAAAAAAACAAAAACAAAAAAACAAAAAAACCCCCAGGTTTTGATAGAAGACATTTTCAGACAAAAAAAAATCTTTTGTTACCAAGTAGGGGTTGGTTTCCAGGTGGGACTATTTGGTATCTCTGAGGCAACATGCCGTGGCCACAGTTTTTAGTTTTACAGAAACAATACTATCAAATAACACCAAAATACAGAAACAAGGCCATGAATTTTTTAGAATAATGATCACTCAGAGAATATAGTGAAAAAGTCAACTATGTTCATGGGAAATGTAACTAGTTAGCTTGCTCTGCAGAACAGTTACATGTTTCATAGCACAGATTAACGGCTTCTCGACAACTTTAACATTATTAGACTATCCAGTCAGTCTCATTATTGTCCAATACTGCAAAGCTTTGGTAACTTGGCTGATCATGGCAGGGGAATATGCAAGATGTTGAAATCGGGTTTCTCTACTCCTAGGTCACAGCAGCAAAAGTTGATGCCCTACAGCACGCTGCATACAGTAACGGGGAGATGACAGCCTCCAAGACAGGATCATTGTAGCCAACCCGCAAGCCTGTGCTTCCTCCCACCATGTCACCAAACCTTCCCTCTTCATCCAACATCGCAACACTCTCAAATCACAACTCAAAGGACTGCAGATTTACATATTTTTAAAATATTTATAGGCTGTATGCAGTAGACAACCATCAGGCCTCCTGCCTCTCAGACCTCCATGTACCAACTGTCAGCAACACAGAAGGACATCTTGGGTATCCAAACTACTTTATTTGACTTGAACTCCACCCTGCCTCCTCAAATTGTTTAGCTGACACAGAAACTATGCATGACCCTCGGAAGAAGGATTAAGATCACATAATAAAACCAAGAGTTAGACTTTTTTTTTTTTTTTTTTTTTTTTTTTTTTTTTTAAATAGTGTGCTACATGAAACTGTCATCTCACAAACTCTTTATACACTTCAGAATTCTCCTACAAAAAGTGTTTTTTCTTGAAAACAAAAAAAAAACCCAAACCCAAGCTGTAATTATACAGTCAGAGAAAAGCGTAATAATTCCAGTATGCCACCACAATTTTCTCAAGAAGACACGAACAGCTAACTGGGGTTCCATGCTTTAAAAATCATCCTTTCTACCAGAAGTTGTCTGTATGTCCAATGTATATGCATGTGGGAGAAGAACCTGCTTAAAAACCATGAATACTGAATTTGCAGAAACTGCAAATAAATAATTTCTAAATTCCTCATCTCTAACAGCCTAATTTCTACTTATGATCTAAAGATACCGTTCAGAACAACAAATCAAAAAATTTTATTTTCTTGTCAGCAAGTATGATTCTGTGAACAGATATAGAAGGCCTCATCTTGTGAAGTATCGAATAACTTAAGTGGTCCTTGACTGTAGAAGCAGCTGGAACATACTGCTTCCATGGAATGCTGATCTCTTTACCACTCATAAAACCAGTGATACTCACCTCTTCATTACGCACTATTTTTGTAGACCCATCCCATATGAAAAAACTAATCTATGATAACCAGTTTAGATATAGAATGGTATCTCGAAAAGCTCTGTTTAGTAATCTGCTTCCTCTTCCCCTTAAAAGTCTAAACGAAAAGTAACTATTAAGTAAAACCCCAAAAGGTTTTGTAAACAGACTGCAACAAAAAAGAAATATTCTTACCTTGAAGCATCAAAGCTGTCATAGGATCCAACTGTGTAGTGTCTGAACAGTTTCTTTGCTCTGTCTGTTCGTGTTTCTGCACAAATAAAAGAGAACTTTTAATAATACTCTTGTATTTCTTAATCGAGTGCAGTTGCAATTTCAAAGTGGATGTTCAGCTATACATCAATACAGAAAATTTACAGTACTTTCTAGAATCACAAAATGGTTGAGGTCAGAAGTCATCTTGTCCAACCCTCCTGCTCAAGCAGGGCCACTCACAGCCAGCTGCCCAGGGCTGTGTCCAGGCGGCTTTTGAATATCCTTACAGAGGGAGACTCCACAACTTCTCTGGGTAACTTATTCCAGTGCTCATTCACCCTCACAGTAAAAAAGTATCTCCTTATTGTTCCCTTACAGTGGATGTACATGGTTTCAAGGCATTTTGAAAAAAATTTTTACTTTGGAGTTGAGACATTCTTTTATCATATTATACACATCAGGTGAATAAGGAGAACATCTTGCAGATCATGTATCACAGCATTCACAAGTTTTAAAGCTCCACCCACATTCTCAGTGGCAAAACCTTTCAAGTGCAATCTTTGGTTCTTTTATAACTTGGACTAAGAGGTAAAATATAAGAAGAAAGAAAGAAGAAAAACCACCAATGCATTTCAGAAAGTTTAGAAAAATAGCCAAAATAATGCAAACCAGTATTTTTTGTTTAAACACACATACATACAAAACTAGAGCTATTTCTGTAATTTTATTAGGCATATGGAGAATGGGGTAGGGGAAAACATAGTTGCTCACATTCATCACCATCAATCTAATCTCACAGGAAATAGTGCTATGACATTTGTACTACCATTGTACAGCAAAAGCAAACAATCCAAACAACTAGAGGATATGGCAACTAGAGTATATAGTGACGCAAAGAACAATGAAATCCCATAACTGGGAACCACGAAGAGCAAAAGAATAAGATACAACAATACGTCTACTAAAAAGGCATTTAAAACCTCAAATACATTAAGATTTTATATTTAGGCTTCTTCCTTAAGAAAAAACATACACCCCACTGAAGCAGTTCCTACATCTAGAGGTTGCAGCATTAAATCATCCTCTAAGGCTATGAACATTACGCTCACAAGTATTTCTACAATTCACCAACTTTAACACTGGTTTAGTATGGGTATAACAGTTAAAATATTTAGTTTAGAACTGCATCTATAGCATGACAGACAACAGAGCTAAACATGTCTCTTCCTCTAGACCAGGAAAGATGCTCTTTCATTTATTACTTTCAATGGGTAACTGCAGGAGCTCCAATAAATCAAGTATGTGGGAAAGGTGCAGAAGCTACTCCTGTATTTGGTCACTTCAGTTTGCATAGCAAAGAGCTTAATCTAAATGGCTTTCACTGAAAGGCTATCACTCTCTCTGTATGTGTGTGCGTGTATATGTGTCTGTTTATATATAGGATTGTAGAAGAGGTAGGTAACTCATTGTCAGATTCTTCAGAATGACAGGAAATACAGAAGCTTACTTCAAAAAGACATTCAAATAAAGTAAAACTTTAACAAAAAAGAGAGCAAGGAACCTTTGGTACGTTTATGTATTACAATAAATGTTGTTCACATGTATCAATTTTCTGAGCCTTACTCAGTTTTTATCACAATAATAATCTAGTGTATTAATTTTTCCTCAGATGAGCATCTTTAGTGTAGTCCCTTTTTAAATGGCTTCTTCATTCAAGGGAAGATACTTATGCAGAAACTGTAGCTTTTGAGACAGCAAAAAGTCTTGCCTAAATACAGCTTGGTCCTCAAATGCAATCACACAAGTTAGGCTAACAGACATCAAAAATCAAATTGAAAAGTTTCTAGTTTAGCTTGTGACCATGAAATTCTCATCTGTATGGTTAAGGAATGTTTCATTGATGGACAGCCTGACTCTATCCAAACAGATTTTATTAGTTCTCCAAGCATGGCATAGCCCTCAAGGTACACCATCTCTATGTGACAACTTTTAAGAATGTTAAAAATTACTGTGAGAGGTCGTGCTGTCAGACGACCAAGTTCTAGTCTGCAGAGAGAAAAAAATACACCAGTGCAGGATGATAGGCTTTGAACGTGGCCAAGGAGCACAGTGCAGAAGAAAGTATTGGGAGGCAGACTTTGGAAAGAAGGGTTGACAAAACACATCTTTCCTGGCTTTAACTAAGTACAGCCGACACATAAGTGGATTGTGCCCCTGGTAGGAGATATAAATACAAATACATATATAATACAGAGGAATTACGACTGAAAAGATATGTGCAGGTTGCAGCTGGCTAAAAGAGTAAGCGTAAAGTATTTCTTCATAGCAGTGCACCAATTTGCAAGATGCAAGAAAAGCAGTACTTAGAAAGAACAGAAATATATACATTTATATAAATTTTGGGGAGACTAGCCAGCCTTCTTCCTACAGAATGGTGAAAGAGGGAGAAAATCCCTATTATAATATGAATCCTACTTGATAGCTTTGTACAGTCTTATTTTGTCCCTTTGGCACTCACCTACGATCTATACTGTTTACCAGAGAGGCCTTACCTTTACCCCAGGTTCCAGCTCTTACTGCCCTCACCCCCCTGCCTTTCTGGAACACCCAAAAAGGACACAACTCGCTCCAGGACTCACCTACCATCTTCCTAGACACAACCAAAGCTCAGCCAGCCAGCACGGTAGCTGCAGGGCTGGAGGGCAACACGCTGCCTTTCACAGAGTAAGAGCTGTAAGCACAGGGAGCTGTGATGGTACCCAAGGCTACATGACATCTGCTCAAAGAGATCTGGCTTTGAAGTAGCTCATTGTATGACTGTACCTCTTCATGTGCTGTAAGGGATTCAGTGAATTTTATGGGTCATGCCTTTGTTGCTAAGTTTACAAGTTTAGCTTCAAAATCCAGAGCCCTGTGGTGATGTGGAATAAAGTGACCAGCCTTAATTGCAGTCTATTCCCCAACAAGCAACATTCTTTTTCACATTATCCTAAAAATCAGATTAATATCAAGAGACATAATCAGAAGAAAATAGAAGAATGTAGGCCTGGATTCCACGTAGAGTTTACCACTGGTCTGTTTTCAACAGTCACTTATAAATAATTAAAAAGGACAAAGTATGAAGAAGAGTATTTTGGAAATCTAAAAGCCACTGCTTGATCCTTAAGAAGCCAGATGTTCCTTCTGCAGAAACTGTTTTCTATGGCATGATATTCAGTGCTATTAACGAATACAAAGTGGGTGGGAGGAACGGAAAGGCGCAGTGAGACAGATAGCTTTGTTCAGCTACTTAGTATTGCAAAGCCAGCATTCTTCAGCTGCAGCTTGTATCTGCTCCCTGTCTCTCCCACCCCTCTCTTTCCCCCCACTTCTTTGTGTGCAATCGTATTCACAGGGATTATTTGGGAAAACATTAGCCTTACAAATCCCTGAAGTCAAGGCTAAATGGCATGTTTCCCAGGTTGCTGTGTAAATTCTTTAATTACCCTCTTTCCCTAACCTCTGACTCAGATTCCAGTCTGTCCTATTACGCAGCGTAAGTACAGACATCCAAACACAGGGGGAAGGATCAGGAATCTGTCATCATAAGGAAAGATGTGTATA